GTTTTTTAATTTTATTTCTTTATTTCAAATTAAATTCAATTGATACATGCACATGTACAGTTCTTCTGGTAATTTTTTGAAAGAAATGGCTTTACATTGCTTCTCAGTGGTGAGCCCCTAAAAGGAAAATTCCTCTTCGCACATTCCATCATTAATTAATTATTTTCAGATCTAGTGTTCTAGTCTTCTACAATTTTTTGAAGATATTCTGCTGCAATATTGAAAAAGTTTCCAAACTTACATTGATGCAATTTATAGGACAGAATAAAGATAATTTACTTTAAATTCATATTTGAAAGATATTCGACTGCAAATTGTCATGTTTTTCACCAAATTAGCACCAGTAATTCATATCCATATGAAACATATTTTTGTATTATATTATATATTAAACAAAACGATCGAATTTCTTCTAGTAATAAGGTGTTTGGAACTGCAAAGACAGAAAGCACAGATTTACAAAAATATTAATGGGAATTCGCAACAATCAGACAAAACATTATTTTGATGGAAAGGAAATATGGCAAAAAAACTGCCTTGGAAATGCCAAAGTGTAAAGCTAAGAATAAATTGAAAAAAGATGACCTTCAATTAAGTGAAACACCATAAGAAATTCTTCCAATATGGCCCCATATTGACTTAATTTTCATAATTCATCTTAAGTTTTACTAGTATTTATACAAACCATCTTGATTTCTCCAAGGAAAAGGCTATCTATCGGCCAATAGGTATTTCTGCCGGTTTTATTAAAAAAAAGAACAGTACAGAAAAACGATATAGTACATATGGAGCAATAAATTTAAATTGAATATTTAATTTATATATTCTTAAATGTTTTATTAAGGCAGAGAGGACTACAATCGTCAAGTTGGGCGGATTCTTCTTCCACTTTGTTTGAATTTGCAACATACTTTTAATCCGTCTCATTTTCGTAATTAGTCTTTATGCAATTTGTTCTGTTGCTTGAATGTGACATTTAATGTTTTTGGTTTAATACATATTGATTTGTATATTTTTGTAGCAGTTTTAGTACTGATTCCTTTGGAGTTATATATTAGTGACCTAAAATAATTTGTTCTTTTAATAATTTATGTTTTAGCGTTTTGCACATGTTTCGAAAATTGTAATTTTCTGTCGATATTTCTGGAAAAAAAAATTTGGGAATATATTTTGCTGCTTTGATTGTGAGAGTTTATTTGGTATTCAAGTTCATGCAACTTTTTATGGTAGATCAGCAAGCCAAACCCTATCGAAAGCCTAATTTATGTCCATAATCAAGTTGTTGTTGTTCTCCTACTGTATTTAAATTAATTAATATTTTCATTTTTATTTCAGATATCACGAAACTGGTTCAATTCTCCCGGGAGCCATTGGCGGGTCCAAACCGAGAGTGACAACACCAAAAGTGGTCGCCTATATAAAAAATTTGAAACAGAAAGACCCGGGAATATTCGCATGGGAAATTCGCGATCGTCTCATTCACGATGGCATCTGCGACAAATACAACGTTCCATCAGTTAGTTCGATAAGTAGGATCCTAAGAAATAAAATCGGTTCCCTAGTGCACAGTTCTCAGCACAGTCCGTCGATTTACAATATCTATCCCAGCTACACTTATCCGCAGCAACGATCTCCAACTCATCAACGAAACTCTGGCCCCCATTGCTGGCCTAGTTCTCATTCGGTGCAAGATATTCTGGCAGGAGTGCATGCAGCAGCCTTTCGAACTCCTCATGGTGGCACCGCTTCGGCTCTTCCTCCTGGACCTTCGCCTCCTGTTGGTGATCCTGCCCAAAACTACAACTACTACATGTATCTACAAAGTGGGAATACTGCCATGCATATGGTGAATCCAGGGATGGCTGCTCATCCTTTGGCTGGCCATCATTTGTGCAATTGACGGGGCACAAAACACGTTCAATAGACTGAAACAAGTACTTTCTGGTGTTGATTGATGATGTGGAAATAATCTGGTTTAAAAAAACTAGATTGTTTATGTGGGTACTCTGTTAATCGTAACGTTTTTTCATTGTGGGACATTGAGGGCTGGGGGATTTCGAATGTGTCCAAATTGTCTAAAGCAAAAGTGATATAATATTAATTATGTACCAAGACATACAGGAAATGATGTGTAATGAGTATATGAGAATAAATTAGGAAAATTCCCAACTTCATTTAAAAGTTCTTATGTCAGTATTACACTACACACTTTCGATTTATTGGCCAATACAGTGGGCCATTTATTAAAGGTCATCTTTTTACATTTGTGGATATTATTATCACAATAAATTGGTGCAATTTCAGTAAAACCATCATAAATTTCAATAACAGATTTTCAACCTCTGAAACACAAATTTGCTGGTACTTTACGTCGAGAATCGCTGAATGAACATCGTCGTTGCACAGTTAGCAAACAACAAATAAGCCCAAAATTTCAATTTTCAATAATTGGCCTACTTTAAGACCAATAAATCGGGGAAAAATGCATAGGGTAATACCGGCATTATATTAATATAAATCTGCAACCAAAACAGGCATTAATTAATTTTTCTTAATCATTTCGCCGATTACTATTTTTCCTAATTTGACTCCTTAATATCTTGGAGCTAAAGGAAAAGCTCTGTATATCTGCAAAATGTGTTTTTTATTAAGTGAAACTTCGGGGGAAATCGAACAGTTAGCCTGCATATTTTTCGCATCGTTTCAGGTTACCTTGAAAGACACTAAAAATCACATTAATGTAAATTTATATACATAAGTTAAAAGAGATTTTTGTTATTTATTATATAAATATATTAGGCCTTTTCAGTATAGGCTTATAGGTTAAGCTAATTGATCTATGATTCATTTAGTGCCTTTTGTATTATGCTTTATGTGCTTCCAATGTGTAAATAGTAAATTATTAAAATAATTTATTTGTTAGTTTTTTAGTAATCATTAAACATCCACATTTCCCCTTTCCAGAACTCAATTTTTTGTAGGTAGTAAGAAAGTTAAAGCAGAAATTGGTCATCAAAAGTAAAACTGAAATATTAGTGAAAAATATGGCTTCAACAGTTGCAATCTGTTTATTTAATTTTTTATTAATTTTATTATATTTATCTGCAATTATGATTTTTAGACTGATAATGAGAGGCTTAATTTGATTAAGCCAATTAACCGAAAGTTGTAAAAATGTAATAAAATTTGTAAAAGACAAACCTGCACAGATTGTGGCAATTTTCAACTTTGTGAGCTGCTTTTCAAGCTAAGTAAAGCAAAATATGCTAAATCTACAAGTTAATAATTATCTAAAATGCGCAAAATATTTCGATTAATAAAAAACTAAACTCGACAATCCGTAACTTGATTATGCAACTTTGTAGCTAAAAGCAATATAACAAAAATAAAGCAATTCATAGTCGGTGAATGGGGCTCTATAAATCAACTTCTATGGTTGTGTTTTTGTGATCGGTTTATCACAGTATTCTTTTAAAAAGTTACCTAAAATAAAGAAAGTAAAAGGTATAAGTGGCAAGGCCTATGATGAGAAAATAAATGGTTGGAATAGAACTTTTATAGTGACCAGCTTTCAAGCAAACTTAATGTTCCTCAGGGAACAATTCTGAACCTATTTACCTTTTGCTGATGATACAACAATCATAATATCGAGTAGCTATTGCAGAGGTCTGGAGATGAAAGTTCACATAATTATTAATGATGTAACTTCGTACTGAAGCTAAGACAAATTATCGCTAAATATTGACAAAATCAAGTATATTTTCTTCAGCGTATACAAACCAGGATAAAGTGACTGGTTTTCCAGAGAAAATGTCCCAAATCGCACCAGTCACAAAATAAAATCAATAGCAGATTTATATTAATTAAAATTTGATTTACCAAAAGTGTATAAAATCTAGACGCTGCAAAAGTGCAAAATAAATCCACTTCGCTTCCTTGAAACTTACATGTGTTGATGACCATTTGTTATTTTATACTACAAATCACCACATGTGTTAACTGAAACCCCGTTACCACTAAAAACTCAAAAAATATGTAGGCATTAGCATACCGGATTTAAATAGATCGGTCCTCTTTTCGGTGCATCAGCCACAAGTTTTAACTTAAAAGAGACCGCCAGTCATTCATTATTAAGGCGGAACGCCTCCCCCTTAATAATAAGGCTCACTTGTTTTTTTCCTTTCGCTTTTTTTTATCTTTCTACTGTCTAGGAAAACGGTAGCTGTGAAGTGTGTTTTAAAGATGAAAATTAAAAGGCAATTTGCACCTTGGTTAGCTGAGGACGTGAAAAGTCATCAATCACTACTCTGGCAAATTTTGATTTAATGGTATGGAAAATGATGTTTTGTTAGGGACAGTGTTCCATTGAGTAGACCGGTTATTTCCCCAAAAATAGCTATTTAAAGTTTATATTTGGAACATTTTTAAGCCCGGGCTAAAATCTTCTCTTTCACGTAATCTTCAAAGTCTTCGTTGATCAAGTAAGAAAATATTTTCAGTCAGAGAAATTGAATACTTATTACCCTCCGTGGATTTTTTAATTTTCAATAGAACGTACCAAATGGCGTTTGCCTCCACTATATTTTTCTTACCTTTTATTGCATAATAGGCCCACATTATCGCTAAAATACGGGAAGTTGCAGAACTATGGAGTCAAACTTCTAGAGAGTGTTTAAGGCATCAATAGCAGACATGCGAGTAAAAGAACTTAGAACCAAACATTTTTTATTCAGATGAAACTTCAAGACCGTTTTGTAAAATCAGGTTTTACTCAAAAAATTACCAAAATACATATAAATTAACAAAAGCACACATAAACTAGCACATATTTTTGCTACATTTCCACTTAGACAAAACTCAGATTACTTGATGTAAATCAAATATATAGTTTAGTTTAGTTTAAGAACCCACATTATTTTATGTTTTTACATTTTATATTTCTTATATTTGTTTTGGTGCTCTACATTGGACGGGACGATTTTTAGAAAATGGCTTAACTTGAAAATTCTAGTCAGGCTCGACTGTAGGTTTGTTAATTCCAGCAACATTTTTCGGAAGTTTGTGTGTATCGGAATTTGTGATGCTTTTAGTGTCGCATCGTGGTTAGAACTGGACAACATTTCAAGCCTCTTCTTGCTCTAGATTGGACGTGCGAATTTTTTGAATATGGCTCAATTTCTATTCTCTATTCGAAAGCTCTATTCAGACTTGTCTGTAGGTTTGGTAATTTCTGCAAAATTATTCTGCAGTTCGTTTCCATCGAAATTTGGGATACTTACTTTTAGTACTCAACTGTGGTCAGAAATGGACAACATTTTGTATCTAGTTGGTCTAGATAGCATGTGAGATTTTTTTGAAAATGGCTTAACTTGAAAACTCTTGTCAGGCTCGACTGCAGGTTTGCTAATTCCTGTAAAATGATTCTGCAGGTGGTTTACATCGAAATTTAGGACACTTTTAGTGCACACACTGATTAGAGCTGGACAAAATTTCAAGCATTTAGTTGCTCTAGATTGGACGTGAAAAATTTTTGAAAATGGCTCAACTTAGTCTAATGACTCTAGTTAGAATGTAATTGTCAAATCATTCAAATGCCAATTATCTAGTATTTTGTATGGATATTCAAAATTCTTCTTTGAGAAAATTAAGTTCAATTTTTTTTAGAAAGAGGGGACACATTTACATTATTTATAGGTACAAAGCAAATTACCAATTAAAAAGTCTAGTCATAAAATTAAATCATTTAAATAAAATTAAACATGTATTTCAAATTGATTGATTCTAATCATACAACAAAAAACACACAAATATATCTAATTTAGGACAGGAACTAACAGGAAAATCTATTAGAAATAAAATTATAATAGACAATCTAGTATAAAGGAATTATTATGTCCTTTGATTGTTCTCCATGCGCTTGAAAACTGAATTGAAAATTGTATTATTCTACTTTACGCTAATGTTATTCCAAACGGTCCATCTAATTAATATAAATAAATTTTCAAATAAAAGTTTGTCAATACTTTCATACTACTAGTGTTACGTTTATCACTATAAAAACGTCTATAAAACGTGTATAATTTAATACCTTTTCGCGCTCCGTCACCGATTTGGTAAGTTTATTTAGGACTCAATTTAAATTTAAGGCTTTACTGCTCATTGACTAATGAACCGTAAAATGAACAAAGGAGGTGTCAAATGTTGAACACAGTAACTTAATAAAGTTAATAACGAAAACGAAGAGGTTCATGTTTCAAAAAAGAAAACAATCGGACAAACCTGAAACATAAAATTCAGGACGCGTCGTATGAACGATTAGGCGAAAAACAAAAAGAAAGGAAGCTAATTTCATTAGTTTTTACTTCCCCGTCTCTTTAAGCGCAGAATTAACATAAATATAGTCCTCGTTACTTTGACTAAAAAAACTAGGTAATGAATCTTTGATTTGAATGCTTGCAATGCTTGATAAAATATCAACATCTTGACTATCAAAAAGACTCTCAATTACTGAAATCTTCCGTGTAAAACTAGCATAATCGACTTAAACAGAAACAATTGTGCATACATTTTTAACATATAGAAAACGTTTTTATTCAAAACCGCAAAAACGAGTGCACTTGACAACAAATAAAATATAAAATAGCTGAAAATATTGAGTAATTTAAAATGAATCTCTGGATGCCCCTATTCCAATGACTGAGTATTTTAAAAGCTTTAAATGTTACTTATCACATAATCCAAAGTCATTTTGAGCTTGTTCGTGGGCACGGGATGCAAAGCTTGAAACCATCCGTATCCCAAAAGTCCCCGTTCACGCCCACTTCCTTTTGTTCATCATTTGCGGCATCATCTTATCCCGCTTAATTAGCTACATCTTTTCGCTCAGGGCTCGTAAGTCATATACGGCCTGTCAGTATTATTTTTACGAACAAATTAGAGAAAATGATTTGGTCCACTGAAAGCTTTCAGTTCAATAATTTGAACTTTACGCCGTATTTATCCAAACTGTTTCAATATTATATTTATAATTGACAAGAAAAAATTTCTTTCTTTCTATAATTGCCGATTCTGTGAACCAATATGTGACCAATGAAGAAGCTTGAATATAAAGAAAAGAAGATATAAATTAAATAAATTATTTTATCTTGTGGTAGTAGTGTTGTAATTTTGAATCAAACGAATATATTAATCGAATACATTGGCAGCTAATGTTTATAAGATATAAGGATCTAACATTCTGAAGAACCACAACTTACAGAAGGAGCTGAAGCCCGTCTGTTCTTCAATCAATCACTATTGACAAAAAAGAGCCAATTTATTTATGGACATCAATTAGGTCTCTGATAGTGTTTGAAAAAAGATGGTTACTTAAACTTTGCGAACTTCAAACACTAAAATACTTACTTCACATCGTTAAAAATATACGTGAAAACTAAGAATTGGGACTAAAAATTATTTTTCTTTCCTCCTCGAACAAGACAAATACCATCAAAACCCCGAGCAAATTGCGATATGTAGACGACACTGCACTGATAATACACGATAAAACTACATCAACAGCGGTAGATAAACAAAGACATGGTGTTATAAACGGGGACTCAAAATACCCTCAAAATTTGTATTACCTATTTACAAAATTGTAGAGGAGTCCGCACCAATAATGGCAGGTAAAAACGACATAAAATACTTGGGAATAACAATCGAGAGAAAATGAGACATGAGCGAAATACTCAAGACATAAATATATAAGAACTAAACCAGGTAGAGTAAACGTAATCGAGAATACTGAACAATAGAATTGAAACAATATTGAACAATATTGAACAATATTGAACAATATTGAACAATATTGAACAATATTGAACAATTTGAACAATATTGAAACTAGAATATATAAAAAAATTTCATAAAGGGCCGGGCTC